GGCATACATTAAAGTGGGTAACTCCAGGCTCTCGTAATTACCTCGACAAAATGACAAAACATGATAGCCCAGCCAATCTATAATTACTCAAAATCTATAATTATAATATAACTATACAAACACACACACACAAATTCATGCAAAGTGTAATAAAGGTTTACCAAGCACCAATTAATGTGATGAACACAGATACACAATCTCAATAATTCATGACTAAAATTCAATGATAATAAATATACCTTAAAATAATATCTGAAGGACCTACTGGATAGCACAGGGAACGCTACTCAATATTTTGTAGTAATCAATAAAGGAAAATTATATATATATATATATATATATATATGAATCGCTTTGCTGTACACCTGAAACTAACACCACATTGTAAATCAACTCTACTCCCATAAAATAAGTGAATAAATAAGATCTGAAGAGTCAAGGTTAAAAAGCCTTGATTCTTTCTCCAAGGAAAAAGTGTACTTTTAGAATTCTCTCTCGTCCAAGAGCATTTATAATCAATGATGTTCCTGAATTTCTTTCCAAATCAAATTCACAAGAAGACTGAAGATAATCTATTTTTAAAATAAAATCGAAGGCACTCTTTTTAAAAGGAATTCGGAGTTATTTTTCAAACACATCCTTTTAAGTGAGTTTTTCCAAAACAGATGCCATTTACACATATTTCTTCCATCTCTCTAAATGAATGGGGTTTACGTTGCTTCAAAAGGCAGTGTGCGCAGCAGTTTTACAAAAGAACAGTATTTCTCCAACATCTCCATCTGCTGGCTTAGAGGAAAAGTAGATTTTATCTGGTGTTTCTTGAAATTTAATATTTTTATAATTTATTGTTATGAAATTGAAATATGAAACTAGTAAATTATTTTTAAATAGCCTAATAGCTATTTGTCAAAGTCTTTCAGTAAAAAATAGGAAAGATTTTGAAGAGGACATTTACTATTTAATATTTTTAATTCCAAAGCCCTATGTGATCAAATACTCAAGTTCATAGCCCTTTTAGACAGTTTTATGTTGTTTAAAATAAAACAAATTTACTAAAACAAAGTTTTAGTAAATAGTACATTGAACTTTATTAAAACATTTTAGAATGTAAACATATGCCAATATCACATTTATTATTGTCACAAAAATGTTGAGTTACAGTAATAAATTGCTTTTGCAGAAAAACTACTACAATATCTCCACATCCTCAGACTAAACTTCTTAGACAAGACCCAGCAGACAGTGCACAGGAAAGGCGTCCAGGCCAATAAGGATTTGAAAACTATTTGAAAGAGCATTGAGGGGAAAGGTTAGGAAAAAATGAATCACTCTAGGAACAGCATTCATTTATTCTCTGACATCTAGAAGACACTCAGCAAATACTGAAGGGAGCAGGGGGGAAAGAAGGAAGGAAAGAATTCTTGAGGTCCATTACTGATTCAACTGTTGAATATCAGATGCTAATTTATTTATTTTTCTGATTTCATGGATTTTCTCATATTGAAGTCTTATGTTTGAGCAACCTTCAGGGAAAAAAAAAAACACCTCACTTTAGTAGGCTCTCTAGCTAATCAGAAAGAAGGAAGAAAGGAAGTGGGGAGGGAGGGGAAAATAAAAGGAGAAAGTAAGAAATTGGAAATCTGTCTTTATTTCCTCAGGTACCCATGGAAACAAATGGGAACAAGTAGGTTCTTCCATTATTCCCACTGTGACTGTGAAAGAGGGAGTGGGAGGGAGTTCAGAGCCTGCACAGTCACTTACCCAGTTCAGAATATAATGACTTCATTTCGTTTGCATAACTTTAACCCATTCCATGGATCCTGCTGGACCCTGAAAGCCCCATCGGCCTCAGCAGTTCCAAAGAAGTCCCTCCATCTCAGGAATACAACCAAAATTAGCAGACTAATTATCTTTTCTATTTTGAAATTATATTATTAAGGTTTACAACTCTGCTTTCTTAATATATTAAATTTATACGTTACATTTAGGGTTAAATTTACTCTATGGGATTTTTACGGTTTAACTCGGAGGAAGGACAAGCTACTTTATGAACACTGATTGATGATACACATTTTAATACTGGAGTGAAGAAGCAGAATTCCTTAGATTTCTGGAGGAAATGGCAGAAAGTCGGTTGGGTTTCTATCAACAGATTTGACATTGCTGCTTCCACTTCATATAGGAAAGAATCATGGACTCCCCTGTCTGAGAAGACAAGGAAACAAAGGCTAAGGAGAAAAAGCCTTGAGCACGATTTAAGTGATCAAGACTCATCTTAATAAATTTGATATTAGAGATCTCCATTCATTTCTTGACTGCTAACTTTGTGAGTGTAGTTTATACAAGCATCTCTCTCTCTCTCTCTCTCTGAAAAGAGGTAAACTAATTTTACATTTTCTATTGCTCTTGGGAAAAAAAAAAAAAAAGGATACAAACACTCCATTTCATTTTGCAAACTCTAGATTGTAAAATTCCCAAAGGAATGAAGAAATTGAGTGCCTGGTCGATGAGTTAATGTCAACTCCAGAAAATTCTATTCAATGAGTCTCTCTTCCATACCAGGGCCTCAACTAGCTCTGCTCAGCAATCAGTAAGACTACTTATAACACGGGAGAACCAGAGACCGTGGCTCTGAATTCCCGTGTCGGGAACTTGAAAATGCATTCAATTCTTCACCATCATTTGTTTTACTGTCCTAGAATAATCCATGGAGGAGAAAATTTGGGACCTGGACACATGTAACTCTTTATCTCAGCTCCATTTTCTAAGAAAAACAACAAGAAAAAAATCTGTGCAAAATGAAGATCTGATTTTCCCATTTTCTCAGAATTATGGTCAAGCAAATTAAATTGTGTTTTTTTTAAATGAAATCTATCTCTTATTACATGGATATACTCATTCTGTGGAAATGTATGCATTTATATATGTGTTGAATATATGTACAGTTTCTGCCTACATATCTTATTTCAATTAAATTTATATTAAATAAATCTACCCAAAAATACTGAGACTGAGGACCTAAACTAGTCACCTAACCTTACCTAACCATTACTTTTTAGTCTTTACGAAGGCCCAGCACAGTCATTCAGCATTTGGGATGAAGACATATTCATTGCTTTCAGGGGACCTATCTCCTGTGCTCTCAGCCAGGCCCTGGCATGATTTTCACCAATGAGTGAACTTCTCTGTCATTGACCATATTCAAATTCTTCTCACCTTGTTTTAAAAATCTAGATCCTTCCAATAATCATAGTCTTGCCTTAGGTTCATTACTTTCCACAGCATTTTCACACTAGTATACAATTACATACAGTCAGATACTTAGCACAATTGTGTGTCAAACTCACAATTCAGGGGAAAAAAATGGAAACCTGATATCAAATAAAATGAATAATCAAAATCTGATAGGTAAACAGGTCAAGCATAAAAAGCCTTCAAAACTTAAACTACAGCCAGTTTCTTTGTATACATACATATATATATATAAATTTTCCAAGATATATATTATTATATTCTTCTATGGAGTTTTTTTTTAACTGCAAATCCACTTAAGCCTCTCTCTCTCTCTTTCCCTCTCTCCCTCTTTCCCTCTCCCTCTTTCTCTCTCTCTCCTCCCCACCATGCCCAGTTGCTTTTCTCACTTAGAACCAACATCCGAAGAAAACACACAACACTGAAATCCTCTTAAACAGGTTTTCATAAACAGTTGACTTCTAAGCATCTAACAGGACCGTGATGACGACCCCTGCTCTATCGGTCAAAGCCGGTGGTTTCGTTCCTTCATTCATTCGGTGGACGGGAGCTTCAAACCGAGCGGATGCTGTTTCTGACGCTACAGTCAAGCTAACCCATGGGCTCTACGATTAAGGCTTATCACAGAGCAGCGGGACGGCCACCAGCTGCCTGTCTACCGTGGGGACTCCGCGGTCGGCCTTTCTCTGCGGTCATGTTCCGCGGGCTCCTTTGCAAGTAGCCAGAGTGGGAGGGGAGCCATCTGCAAGTCCCCCCGCGAGACTGTCAACTGTGCAGTAAACACTGAGAACGTCAAGTCCGAAAAGAGTCCCCGCAACCCAGCCGGCAGGAAAGGATGCCAGCCGCTGGCAGAGGGCAGGGGGTCCGGGGGCGGCCGCGCCTGGACTCGGGCCCGCCAGCCTTCCCACGGAACCGCGCGGGGACTTAATTGCTTGGGTCTCAGCACTCTGAGGCCTGGATGGAGCTCCGCGGCCGGTCCCCGGACACCGCGCGCCGCGCCGGGACTAGCAGGACGGCTGCGAAGACTAAAATGGCTGGTCGGCGGCTTCTCCACCTTCCGAACTCGGCGCATCCCGCCGCTTTCGGGTCCTCCTCCTCCCGCTGCCTCGGCGGGAGCCCCGCGACCTGCGAACCAGCGCCCCGGCCGGCGAGGGCCCGCGGCGCCCCGGGCACGCTCGCCGCTGCGCTCGGGCCGCAGCTCCCGGGGCCGCGATCCCCGGCCTGCGTCAGCCGCGCCGCGCCCCTCGGGGGGCCTCGGGTGCCGAGCGCACTGCGGGACCGCTGTGACAACGTGTCCCGTCTCGGGGGAGCATACAGGCTCACGGGGTCCGCACGGGGACCCCGAGCGGGGCCTGCAGATTTCAACCCGGGGCCGTGGCGTCTACCCAGCAGCCCGACGGCGCGCCCCGGGGCACCGCGTGCTCGCGGGGCACAGGGGTGAAGGGCTCGCCTTGAAGACTCCAGCTACGCCGGTAGCCCTGCACCCAAGGGCGTCCCCTCACCTCCGACACCCACCCCACCCGAGCCCCAGAGCGCACACTCCCCGCCGCCTTTCGCTGGCTCTTCACCGCCCCCCAGGCCCCAGCCAGCGGGCGTCCGCGCGATCGCTGACACCTTCCCCCGACGCTGCCACACGCACGCGCGCGTGCAGTCACTGCGCCCCGACACCGACACGCAGGAACAGACACACACACCAGCCCGCTTTCCGCGTGCGGCCCCCCGAAAGGACATAAATATTCCTTACTCACAAGCATTGGTGACTGCGAAGCTGTTGGCTACCTCCAAATTGTCGATGTGGGGTGTCAGTCTGAACTCCGAAGTGGAGAACTGAACCATCCCTACCCGAAATGCACTGTATTCCTGATCGGCGCCCCTGGGAAACAGCCCCCCTGCAAAGAACAAACACCAAGCGGGAGGACAGTGTCAGCGCCCGGCGGAAAGCAGGGGAGCCCGCTAGCGCCCGACTGCCCCGGAGCCCCTCGTTCACACTAGCAGGCCGAATAAACACATCCACGGACCCGGGAGCCGGTGTGTGTGTGTGCGTGTGCGTGTGCGGGGGGGGGGGGGCGGCAGCATCCTAGGCCGAGGGTCAAGGCACAGGGGGGCCCGAGGACAAGGTGGGTGGCCAGAAACATCCTCCCTCCCTAGTGATCACAAGCTGTGCGTTCAGAACCCCTACAGAACCTGAACAAACCGGAAGATGCTGTGACGGCAGAAGGAATAAAAATCTGGGGGTCATTAATGAGAAGCCCTTTCCCTCTCTTGTATCAGAGGCATAGTCTTCTGCCCTTGCCTCATCTTAAGAAAAACATATATATTCCAGGCAGTTTAAATCTGGAATGCAGTCAAGGTATGACATAAGTCTACATGACATGAATTAATTTGTCCACCGTGAACAAAGATTACCACCAAATTATGCACAATTCAAAAGCAGAGCACAAAGGGTACCTACCTATCTGTATGCTGTTAGAAGAGACACCAAAAATCAGTCCCCACAAAACAGGAGAAAGGAGGACAGATATATGCATAATCTTTTGCATTTCCAAGAAAAGTAGAGCATCCACAAAATACCCTTTTTTTCCCCCCTTTTCCTCCTCTTCCTTCTTTGGCCGTTCTCCTTGGCAAATTAGATCCTCTGCATTTTGAGACAGCAATGTAGCACCGAGCTGCTAGAAACCCGACGTGGTGGCAGAGGAATCCCTATTTCCAAGGTCCTGCGGGTGGCTGCCGCCCTGCGCCCGGTCCCCGCTCGCGAAGTCCGGAGACTGGCTGGATGCAGCTTCCAGCAGGCTGCCGCTGTGGTCCCAGCGCCTCGGCACACTCAGCACCCTCCCATGCACTCACACACTCACCCTCGCGCGCTTCTCCCTCTCCCCGCTCTCACACGCGCGCGCGCGCGCACACACACACACACACACGCACACACGCGCACACACACACACGCACGCACGCGAGTCTCAGAGACGCGTCCGGCGCGCGTGCGCGAGTCGCGACGGGCGGGCGGGCTGCCGGGGCGCCCCTCCCCCCGCGCGCCCCGCGCGCCACGGCGTCGCGCGCGCGGAGCTGGGAGCGCGGCTCGGAGCCGGGGTGCCGCGGCCCCCGGGCGAGACCTCGGGTCTCGCGAGCTGTCGCGCCCACCGGCGCTCGCCTTTCAGCACCGCGGACAGCGCCCCCGCTCCCGCCTGCGCGGCGCGGCGCTACCTTTGTGCCGCCGCGGCAGCTGCGGCGCCGCGAGCTGCTCCAGCACGGACCGGACGCAGCAAAGCCCGTTTCCGGCTGCCGTGCGAAGCCGAGTGGCTCCGTGCTGCTGGCGGTGAAGTGTTCTCTCACCAGGCCCTGCTGCCGTACGATACAAGCAATTCTGATTTTTATCTTCCAGAGCCTGTAAAACCCTCCTAGCAATAGAGAAACGCTGCCTCCCACCGCACCTGATCACCAGGAAAGCAAGCGAGCAAACAAAACACCCATGAGGAGGGGTTCCAAAACTGTCAACTTTAGCTAAATGGGAGGTAGCCAGGATCCAGGGAAAACCCCGAGGTCTATCTTTAAAGGCCAAAGCCGCACAGGAGAAGATCGAGACTGAACCTTTGAAATACTTTGCATGGAAATCCCATCTTTACACTGTGCCCAGCCTGCTGCGTGCGGGTCCCTCTCGCAGCTTTCACTGCAGACTTCCCCCCCTTCCCCCCCAACCCCGTCGTAGAGACATGTGTAGTCTTGGCTCCGTAGAAGTATGTCTTTACACAGCTTGAAAGCAGAGGACTCCGTTTCAAGGAAAGCTTCGTAGGATAAAGAACTTAAAAGATGAAGCAAGTCTGGAAAGGCCGCTGAGCTGCACACCCTTTCCCAGAGACTGAGTTAGAAACCGGCTGCGGCATCGCGTTTCGGTCGTGAGTTTTGAAAATATCACCGCCCAAAGAAAGTAAACTAAGCTCTCACCCCTTTGAACCCGCGAACTGGAGACCACTGGAGAAGAAAGATGACGCAAGGGATTAGAAGTTTGTGGGGAGGGGGATGGTGGGCAGGATGGAAGCCTGGACTTAACTGTGGGAACTTACGGGCCTCACACTGCCTGCCAAACTGATGCCTGGGACCTGCTGTGGCAGAAATTCCTCACTCCGTCTATGGCTTTTGCGGTTTAAACGAAGAAATCAAGGACGACTGAGTACAAGTGACTGTTTCCAGAAGGCGGGAGATCGGAGCCCACGATACGGAAGGCATAGCCTGGTAATATGTCAGAACGCCAAGAGTTAGTCTATCGTGCTGCTATCCTGGGCACTCGTCCCATGAGTATCATTCGTACAGCCTCCTTGTTGACCTTGTAGGGTCTCATACTTGACCCTTAATCACTTTGGGCCTCAATTTTTTTAAAAAATGAGGAAGATGAGCAAAGCGGCCTCTATGGCTCTCTAATCCTGTAATCCATTTCAAATCATGGTCTTTCCCTGTTCTTGATTTTCGGTATATTTTCCTAAGCCAGGAAGTAAAAATATCCATAATCAATTATTAAGTTTTTTTATACTACAGGTAAAAATACCTCCCAATTTTGTCACCAAGAATTTATTTTAGTCCGTTAATAAACACTTCTCTGCATATAACAGGTGTTGTGAGTCAAAATGCATTTAGCCTTTTAAAAAATTAAAAAAGAATAAAAATGGTAAGGAAGACATAAATAAATATATATCCAAGTTTACAATATAAACAATAATTAAATACATCTTATCTATTCAATCACTAGTTGTGATGGAAGGCACCAAAATGATTTGAATTATTCTCTAAAATATTTTTAATGCGTAAAAGAATGAATAACAGCTCAGGGCAAAATAAAAAATACTTTTTTCAGCCATATTTTTTCTTCATTCAATTTTTTTCCACAAGAAAAACTTCAACTTCATGCCAAGTAACTAGGAATGAAAGAAGAGAGAGAGAGAGAAAGTTAAATGTGGATAATTGGTCATGGTTGAAGTATGGGTCAATGTAAATTAATTTTTTTTTTAAAGAGGACTTTTTAAAAACTATTTTCATCTTAATCTATTTTAAAGTCAGGCGAAAAGATGGACTCAAAATGGACTGAATTACATTCTATAAAAACAAACAATATAAAATAAGAATTTGCTGAATCATAGAAGCACCTTTCCTAGTAAATCATATGTAATAACTCAAGGCAAGTATTACTGTTTAGTGACCAATTATAATTCATGTATAAAATGGAAATAATTTTAGTAGGCATGCCTTGTAATTCAACTGTTTTTCTGTTAATGTGCCTTTCACAAGGCATGTACGTTTGGCATCATATATAGATACATCTCCTGCAGTATTAGCATCACTGTACTTATATTATCATTCATGGAACTTTTTCAAATTCACTATAACATTTATTACATAACATTTTTCAGGCATAGAATACTGTCAGTATCAATGTGATAAATTTAAATTGGCTGAAGGAAGTGGTTATGCAAATAAATGAAAAATACTGCAATTTATTTTTAATACTTAGAAACTCTGTTTCAAGAAAATACCTCAAATTGATCAGTAATAAAATCAAATTTGAAATTTTCAAAACTACCAGGAATACAATTGAATATAAAAGCGTGCTCAAAGAAACAGTTTGCTATTTTCTGCCCTCTGCTGTTCAATTTTGGTAATTATCTAAAATGTAAGCGTTTCTGAAGCAAGGATAAAATTACAGTAAAAACGGGAGAAATAAAAATATTATCCATTCTGTCATTTGTTCGTTTGCTCGGTCGCTTTGACTGTTGCTGTTTTGTGTGTATGTTTAAATATAACTTTAGCATTAAGGCTAGAAATAAATATTATACATAAAATCTTCATTTCTGTTTTACTCAGTCTTTGTTTCAATATAGGAAATAATCATTTTCTTTTTAAATCTGGTTTGCAATGCTTAAGATTTTATATATGCGTACATATTCTGTGAAGTTTCAATTTGTGTTCCGTAATGAAAAAGCATCAAGGAAAGTCGTTATATGTGTGAGGGGTGGGACAGGGGCAGGGGGGTGACAGCTTTGAAATGACTGGCAGAGCCTATTTTAGCTGAATTCGTTACCAAAACTGGATTATAAATGTCAATACCCTAGTTTCCCGTGATGAAGCTTCAATAAGATGAAGATCATCACCTGCCTTCCTATCGATCCCCTGGAACCGTGAACATGTAGGCTATCGGAAAGGCTTGGACGCAGATGCTGCAGAAGGATCTGGGTTCCAAACTTGAGACATTATTGGCTGAGACAGAGAAAATAAAAAGAAGAAAAAACACGAGGATTTTAATCACTCAGGACAGTAAATAGAAAAAGATATTCATTCCGGGGAGTTTCAGTTCTTCAATTAAAGATAAAGAATAATATTGATATAAGTAGTTATTCAGATGGAAACAATATTGATTATTCTTTTCTTTTGTGACACACTTGATCATTGATTGAATAAAATCAATTTATATGACTCAAAACATATATCTAAAGTTAAGCTTTTGTATATTTTTAAAAATGAACTTAGAATGAAGTCCAAAAATGGAAAGAATAAGTGAAGGTTTCATTTTGTTTTCTTTAAGGGCTCTGATTACATGGATTTTAATTAATTTTACCCCAATTAATAGCAATCCTATAGCAGAAATATTTATTGGAAAAGTGTTTCAATCCATTAATTAATTCAACAAATTAAACGGGACAAGGATATTCTAAATAATGAGCTTGACGTAACAGTGGGTAAAACGTGGGTACAACAGAAGCTTTCCTCAAGAAGTTTCCAGACTTCATTCAAGTAAGCAAATGGTTAGGACCATGTGAGAAGGGCAGTCAGAAATGAAATAAATAGGCATATGATTAAGAAATATAACAAGGCAAAAGCAAAACTTATTATGCACATTATATCTTGGAGCTCAGGGCAGAGGAAAATCACTAAAGGCTGACACCTAAATTGAGTCAAGTAGAGATTAACCAGATGAAGGTTGAGATGTAGGTAAACAGAACACTTCTTTTTTTCATTATTTTTTAGCTTTATTTAAGTATAATTAACAAATAAAATAGAAATTAAAGTATAAAATGTGATTATTTGATACACGTATACATCATTGTGCAAGGATTATCCCCATCAAGTTAATTAACACATTCATCGCCTCACAGTTTTACCCTTGTTTGTTTGTAGGAACATTTCAGTTCTATTCGCTTACTAAATTTCAATTATACAATACTGTGTTATCAACAATAGTCACCGTGTTATACACTAGATCCTCAAACCTTATTCACCTTACACCTAAAAGTTTGAACCCTTTTACCAACTTCTCCCTTCCCTGACCCCCACCTCAGGCAACCACTTTTCTATTCTCTGTTTCTGTAAGTATGACTTTTTAAAAAAATTTTTCACATATAAGTGACACCATGCAGTATTTGTCTTTCTCTTCCTGGCTTATTTCACTTAGCATAATGCCCTGCATGTCCATGTATATTGAGGCTGAATAATATTCCACAGTGGAATATATATATATATATAAAATATACATAGTACATAATATATATTATATATATATATCACATTTTCTTAATCAATTCATGCATTGACAGAGATTTAGGTTGTTTCCATACCTTGACTCTTATGAATAATGCTGCAGTGAACATAGGAGTACAGATATCTCTTGGAGATGATGCTTTCATTTCCTTTGAGCAGAACCCAGAGGTGGGATTGCTGGATCATATGGTAGTTCTATTTTTAATTTCTTGAGTAAACTCCATACTGTTTTCCATAGTGGCTGCACCAACTTGCATTCCCACCAACAGTATACAGTAATTCACTTTTCTCCACATCCTTGCCAGCATTTGCTATCTCTTGTCTTTTTAATAATAGCCATCCTGAAAGGAGAAGTAATATCTCATTGTGATTTTTGATTTGCATCTTTTTGATAATTAATGATATTGAGCACCTTTTCATGTACCAGTTGGCCATTTGTGTGTCTTCTTTGGAAAAATGTCTATTCAGTTC